GCTATGACAAGACGACGACAGATGAGAACAAATCTTGTTGCGTAGTGTGAGCAAGACAGTGATTCGGCTAGTCTTTCAATCCTGTAGTGTGAGCCCGGCTTTATTTGTAAAGTAAAAATCTCCCCGCAAATGACCTACCATATTTCGCCGAACACCGAGGTCCTGTGATAATATTAGTCCCGTGCGAATCGGCATCTCCTGTGATTCGGCCAGCATTTGGCGGGTCGTATATCATTTTTCGAGGTTTTTGTTTCCTGTGCGCCTTTTTATCCATCTTTCGCGAAGAATGGAGCTGCGTTGGAGTGTTTGATAGTATTTTGGGTGCTGTCATCATATCGCTACACCATACAGTTTGCAGAAAGAGGTTTGAGGTTAATGTGTTACAAATAAATCAAGCATAAAGCTTGAGATATTATTTTATAATGTAATTTCAAAATCACAGATAATGTGATAGGTCCCCAGATAATACTAATCCCCTGCGAATAGGGCTTTAGTCACCGCTTATTTGTTGCCATGACGCGTTGGTAAATGGAGTAAATTATATGATCATTTCATCATAAATGATATCATCAACGCAGCTCACTGAGAACTGAGCCAACAGAGCCCATAAACGGAGATGCTTATTATTTATTTATTTTTTTTCACATCTGTTCCACCTTTATTTGACCCTCTAACAATAGCACTTTCTATTCTATTTTAATTCTACTTTAACTATATTTATCTTCTTTTTTTATTTAAAAAAACAAACAAACACTAGCTTTCTATTTTTTCTATTCTATCTACTTGTTTTTCTTTGTGTGTGTGTGTATAATATACACCTTGCTACGTGTACTGCGTTAGGCTAAACGAGACTTGTCATTTGCACTTATATATTGTTGCTCTTTTGTTAGTTTTGACTGCTTTTATTGTCCTCATTTGTAAGTCTCTTTGGATAAAAGCGTCTGCTAAATGACTAAATGTACATGTAAATATTTATTTGCATAACACTGCTGTATTCAATTCACACAAATGAGCACAATCAAGTTTAAACATCACGTTAGCACAAATTCTAATAATAGGAAAACTAGACTACAAGAAAAATGCAACAATAGAAAGCTAAAAATGAGAGAATTTGACGTAGTGAACATAATGTTACTGAGTGACTTTTTATCAAATATGTGCATACGGAAGTGTATGTTGCTTGGCAACAGAATGCGTGACGCAGGTCAACATAAGGTGCTTGGGGACACTAGGCAGAGACGCATCGATGGCGGAGAGAAACACTCTGGAGAAACTCGATTTGGGCGCTTTAAGCCTCGAGCAGCAGGAGAAGCTGCACCAGTTCAAGGTATTTTATTTTCTTCTGCTGAAAATCTGCGAATTTTATTGGCGCTGGATGAAGTTTTACTAATTAACCTGGTCTAAAGAACAGTAGATATATGGCATTTATTAAAGAAATTGTATGGGAAATGTGATTGATTGTTTTTTTCTAAAGCAAAACCTAAACTTCACATATGTGATTTCACATGCTCCAGGTCAAGACGCAGATAGCTAATGAAAAATATTTAAGGTCTCATCCAGAGGTGGAAATGTTACTCAGTGACTTCTTAAGGTCAGTCTTTATGTTTTATGTTTCTTTATGTTTATGTTTTCACTTTAAGAAATGCTGGGTTAAATACAACCCAGCGCTGGGTAAAGTATGGACAAACCCAGTGATTGGGTTGTTTTGACCTAGCGGTTGGGTTACTACCCAGAAGGTTGGTTTAAACATTTCCATCAAGATCACGCAACCTTTTTATATTAATCCATTCTCTCTGTCTGTGTCTCTTTTTAATAGGGATGTTTTTCTGAAAAGGCCTACAGACATTCGTGAATTTGCAGCAGGTAATTAGTATCAGACACATTTGCACACTTTCGTGCAAGCCACTTAGAATCTTTTGATAAAATGCTTCACATTTAGCATGTAAATACCGTAGTCTTGTTCTTAGATTGAATAATTTATTGTTCTTCAAAATATTGTTGAGCGTATATTACAACAGAAATGTGTCTTGAGTCTTCTGTTTTTTTTAACACGTAACACACATAAACATCTTATTTGATTCTACAATAATAATAATAATGTGTGTGAAATTATGCTCTTAAATTATAGCCAACATCTCTTTTTTTCCAGATCATTTCAGTGACCCAGGACTGCCAAAGAAAATTCATGAGCAAATGAATATCCATAATAAGTGAAAAATGTGTTATAGTGTTTTGTAATAAAAGAGAGAAAAATTATACAATGTGTGTCTGTCTTGATCCCTACATATACATGAAAACGTCTTTGTTGTATACTATTATCAGCAACCATTAGTGTGTGTATCAGGGGAGAGGACAGTCCTGGCTTGTTTGCTAAACGAGTCCACAGAGATGAAAGGCAAATTAAGCTGAATTTAACAGGTTTTTCTGTTCAAGTATGTCCAGACATGCTGGGGCTTGGTCTAATTACTCACTTATTATTTCTGTTATGTTTTATAGCATGGACTGTTTGGTAGAGCATTTTAAGCTACTTGTTTCCATTCAATTTTTTTCATGGATTTATCCTAAATTTGTTTTTAGCTTAAAGTCTAACTTAACAGTCCAACTTAGTGCTGTTTTTGACATTTGGCCATTCGTTGACATTTTTTGTTTTTGTTTTTTAGTTTCACTACCCAATGGTGAACTATTGTACAAGCGACAAGTTTCTTTTTTGGACTTAACAAGCCACCAGGGACCAAATAAGTTACTGCTCATTCTTACAGAAACATCTAATTGTCCTCTTAATGTAGCATCTGACTTTAACAGTACATCAACTCATTAACCCCTATACCAACATAATTCATCATGTACTTAAAAAGCAATACGTTCAGTCTAGCGTATTATTTCAAATAATAATCTCAACTGCTATAAATCTGTGACTTCATGCCTTAGATTATTTCAAATCACTTTTAAAAAAATGCAAGGTGATGGAAAGTCACATCTTGTCCCCACAAAACCACACATGTGATTTCATATAGCTGACACACCTGCACAGACAGACTCCCATATTCTGTGTTGGGTGGGGTTGAGAGGAAAACCATGTTGAAATGAACCCAGTGTGCACCTGCTGAGCAGACTATCAGCTGCAGTATACTTGTGTCATCTCAAGATCATCGCTCACAGTGAGTACCTCCATCACATTTTTTACTGTATCTTAAAAGTCCTTGTTATAGTTTAATGCTTTCACTTATTTCGGTTTTCTTAAATATTTAAATATAAATAAATGACTGAGTTTTCGGTGAACCCTTAAATGTAACCATATTAAAATCTTATTTAGTATCACATCATTGTGCATTATCTATAGCAGTGATGTGCAAACTTGGCCCTTCCAGGCCACTTTCCTGCAGAGATTTGATCCAACCCTGATAAAACTCACCTGCCTGTAGCCTTCTAGTAGTCTTGAAGACAATGACTAGCTGGTTCAGGTGTGTTTGATTAGGGTTGGCGCTAAACTCTGAAGGAAAGTGGCCTGGAAGGGCCAAGTTTGCCCACCCCTTGTCTATAGGAACATTTGTTCAAAATGATTTTATTAGATGATTTGTGCATTGTAAAAGCTGGTGACATCAAGATGTATTAAGAATCTATTTTCACTTGCACTAAGCCCTTAAAATTAATAAACTCAATCATTAGTTACATTGTACAGATTTGCTTTGTCATACAGCTATTCTAGATCAGAAATAAAGGCTGTTTTTGTCTAGCAGTATTCCAGGGAGAGTGATCTCACACAGGCAGTATCCTAGCACTCATGCCAAATCCTCACAAGGTAGATGTAGGGAACGATAGGCGGTATCTGAGAGTCAGTTGGCATGCCTACAAAAACCATAGTAACATTGGAACATAAGATGCAAGTTTATGCAATAACAACACAAATAGGACAGGGACACCGCAAAACGGGAGGAAGCTGTTCTGTTTTTTTGCAGTAGAAATCTCCATTTAATGTAATATTCTGGTGATTTTATCCTTTGTGATTTGTATGTATTTTATTGCTATTCAAACATTATCCCATATTTGACATGATGCTTTGAGTATCTACAGTTTAATTTTGCTCTTGCGTGTTTAAATAATGCAAAGTTTTTGTACTATGCAAACATTGATGCAATTGAATGGAACTGTTTTGCTTGTCATCAGATATGTCTGTATTGTCCACTTGTGATTTACCTCTGTCAGATAATGCCATTGCAGATCATAAAGCTGCCATTCTAGATAAAGTATTTGCAGAAGAGCATTATGTAATATGGTTATTTTAATGTCTGTGTGCGGTCATTGCAATGTGATGATTTCATTGAAATCTAAATCCATATTGAATGTCCATAGAGCCTCATCTGGAGAAAGAGAACAGGGAACAGCAAAATGGGGTTATATAGAGAGGTTTTGAGCCTCTCGTTTCTAGTCCAGTGGACTACAGGTAACTGGTTTAATAGTATTGCATTTTTTAATTTCATAGTTTTGGATCTTAAATAAAAGAGACAATGTTTTGTGAAGCATCTTACAATGAACAAAAATGTCACTAATTTCAGTATAAATGTTTTGTGTTGTTATTATTTACAGTAATGTCCCAGGGTATGATGGAGATGCCTGTCAACCAGTCAACAATAGGATTTCCAAGAATACCTGCAGACTTCAGGGAAATGGCCAAGACTCTGGTAACTTAGTACCACACGATCATTAGTTAGTTATATCTCATACTGAAAATACAGTGATGTGCTAGGATAAATTGGTTGTTTCTTTAACTGTAGGCACTATTGAAACACTATTTCTGAATCGTCATTTTTCTGAACCAACAATGTAGTTTTCATAACATTACGTGGAAATGACACTAATAAAATGGCCAACCTCTTGTCCTGCTTCATAGATATCAAATTAAATATCTTAAACAGAGACAATTAAATAATATTTTTTACACTTTTTGCACAATTTGTTAAATTACAGCTTGATTAGAGATTAGGTTGATTACAGCTGAATTACAGCTTGAAAACTCACAATAAAATAATCAGTTTATAAGTGATATTTACCATGATTTTTCTTTGTGTCCTTCACATATCCCATGATTTATCACATGAATATTAATTTCAATCATGCTCTTAAATCTCATTTTTAAGGGAAACAAAATATATATATAAATCATTTTCACACAATAAATATTGAAATTCTATTTATTTCTTGATTATCTTAATACAAAAAAATGTACAAAATAATTTATATTTTTATTATGGATTTTCATATTTAAATATTAAAAGGCTGGGTCTGATGTACAAGGGTAAAACAAAATTCACATAAAAGGCATTTGAAAAATTTTAAATGTAGTAAAAACAGACTTTTTTGGTCCAACCTTCCTATATACATGTTTTTTTTTTTTTAAATAATAAAGTAATAAAATACATTTCTGGGTCATAAAAGTTAAGAAACGCCCAAGTATGATATGCAAGATGAAACTATCATTAGAATATGAATTAATTCCTAACTTGCTGATATTAGCATTGTTCACCAGTCATTAATCAACCATACATTTGCATGCAAGTTTTATTCAGAACAAACAGCATTTTTTGTTTTACATTGTTTTGTAATGTAATATTTACATTTCCTTTGTTTCCTGACAGATGAGCACATGCTTCAAGAAAGGTAAAATTTGTACAGCCACATTTTCATTATCTCTTAGCTTGAACACATTTGGCCTTACATAATCATGGTATCAGAATGACTTATGTGTTGCACCTGTGCTTAATGTAATAAATTAAGGGAGCTATATTGCATAAACCATAAGCAAATACAAGTGCCCAAGGAAAGAGTGTGAGGATATATTTGCATATTGCATCCATTCCAGTGCTGCCACACCCTGAACAAAATTTATTACTAATCATAATCTACTACCGTCATAAATGCATTATATATTATCACATCAGATAACAATTGTTCTATAGTTTGTGCTACTATTCAGAACTAGCAAATGTTTGTTCCTTTTGTTTCCAGTCATAAAGAGAGAGTGTTTGTGTTTCTCAGTCATGCATTGTGTCTTTTGTTAAATGATGCGGTTGTATTGTTTCAGGTCACCAGGTGCCTGTAATGAACAATTCACTGAACAGGTAGACTGCCATTGAGCTAATGTTATAGAGCAACTATATGCCAGGTGTATATTTGAATACTAAAGATCACATTTCATTGCATGGAAAACTTCTACATTTTCTTTGTTTATCTTTCAGCTCATATGGACAGATGATAGAGAACCCTATCTCTATTTTTCCAGAGCTTCTCTCCTCACTCCCTCAGTTTGTCCCCTCTCACTCTAATCTGCAGTTCAATGAAATGGTAGAAGACCAGGACTCAGTCTGGGTAACTCTCAATATCCCAAACACACGCATATGGTTACCTATAGCTAAAGTAAGACAATTGACCCTTCGCAAAGACCCTCTCCCTCTTTACTGTTGCTATGTCTGACAAGCCATGCCACTCTCATGCCCCACATAATTTTCTCACGCAGTGAAAAAATACGACAAATCACTTTAGCGCCTCAATTCAAGTGGCACATGAACCGATCATTACTACTTATAGCATGAAATAAACATGAATGAACACCAGAAGGTATCTTTTTTCAACCATGGAAAGATGTCAATACACACAATTTTCAAGTTCAAGTCCTCCAACGTTAATCTACTCTCTTGTCTGGTTTGTTTGTTGGGCAAACATGGCAGATTCAGCGTAATGATTGGTCAGCTCGCCTGTCAATCAAACTCCCTGTGAAGGGTCACTAACTCTAACCCAAAGCCGAACCCCAATCCAACAATACAACTATTTGCAACTTTTAAAATGAATAAATACATTGTTAGTCTCTTTGTGAATCTTTTGCAGGGTTCTTTCAGATTTAGTTAAGTGCTTGGGACATTTACTGGCAAATACATGTTTTTGGCTTGCATACAGAGAGATACACAGGAGAGGCACCCATATGTCCATATTTTGTCTTTATTTTATGTTCATCCTGATGGGAAATCTACATTAAATTTAGAACATTGCTGAGAAGATGCGGAACTGCACCAACATGGGCCATATGATTGATCTCATGAGGAATAGTACGGTTAGTGCTGGACTACCAGAAAAAATATATATAATATAATATAATCATTTTGGTAGCACTTGGTGTTCAGTGCTTCGTAGAACTGTTCAAACTGTTCAGGCAAAATGGCATTAACACAACTTTTTTACATTCTCTCTCTCTCTCTCTTTATTTATTTTTTTGTTTTACATTTGCACACACTTAGGGAGGTCCTAGTTGTTTCATGCAGGCATTCATGGCTCCTCTTTCCTGGATGACAATCATGCAGAATGGAACAGAGCTCAATAAAGAAGATCTAACAAAGCTTTTATGGACGGCTAAACCCTTCTTAGAAACAATGCCTCCATCTAGCTTTGTGCTGCCTGCATTTTCACAAAGATCTCATCTGGCTGAAATGTGAGCGTATTGCGCTTCATTAAACTCTGACTAAACATATGGGGTATCTTTATCTTAGTCCTCAATTCTGAAGTAAAATTTTGTTTCCTTGTTTGTGTACTGTATGTTCTCTCTTCTCCCTCTTGATGCTGAAGGATGAAGGTGTTTGGTGAGGTGTTCAGCGTTCTGTCTGAGGAACAGAGGCATGTGATTATAGGGTGGATCAAAGTGAGAGTTGCACTAAATGAATTTAAATGCCTTCTGAAAGCGCCTGCCTTTAGAATCCAGCCTTCTGGATCACTGGAAAAACCGATCATCCGTAAGTTTTGAGTGATCATCAAGCTTTTTTCATCAAAACAGACCTGATCATTTTAAATTTGATAATATAATGGTAATACAATATAATATAATATAATATAATCTATGCATCAATTCTCTTGACTAATCTAGAAAATGTTGTGAAGACTGTGATGAATGTACTAGGAGCTCAAGGGATTCAACATCCAATGATGAATGGTAAATGGGAAAGAAGTCAATGAAAGAACTGAAAACTGAAATGGAATGGCAAAGTGGTGAAGAAGGTGGAGAGAAAACATTAGAAAAGAAAAGCTAAATACAAAGACAGACAAGCGTGTTTCAGAAAGAAAATATTTATACTGTAGATAGAATTGTAATGATACCGTGGATCATGAACAGAAGAATGAAGAAAGAGAAACACCAAAGATAAACAATGCAGAAATACAAAGAGAGGAGATTAATTATATTTAGTAGAAATATGAATTATTGATAATTAAAAAAAAAAATTATTTATACACTTTATACACTTTTTTTTTTTTAGCTTCAACAGCGGTCCATATATGTCCTGCCAGAATGCCCTGGCTGAACGCTACGGTGTTGACAATGATGGGGCCTTTTCTATCTCTACTGTCTTTAGAAGAAGCAAAGACCATCCCTAAAGAAGAGGTCAGAGTCTGTGACATGAAATGCAAGCAAATGCCATAATTCATATGTGTATTGTTCCATTGCCTTTGTGTCTCAGAGCATTTCATACGAACATAATGTACATTCAAAACCACCTATAACTGCAAATAACTACAGTAATCTTTCTCTTTGTCAGCTATGTGAGTTTTTCTGGACTTCAGATTTCTCTCCATCATTTCAAAATGTTAATGGAATACAGCCTGCCCTTGGCCGAACACTTTTTCAACGCTTGAAACAAGAGTGTTCCAGCGGCGACAATTTCACTCAAAACCTGGACAGGTCAGGATTTCCATCATTACTGTGTGTTTAGTGCATGTGTTTGGTAAAAGATAGTTAGGTTATCAGCATTAATACACTGGTTCCTCTGGAAGCCTGTTGCCGCTCTGTTTACAGAAATAAATAAAAGTGATTAAAAATATATAAAGTCACACTGTGAGAAATTTTCAATTACAAGAAATGAAGTCACAATTATGAGATATAAAGTTGCATTGTGATACAGAAAGTCACATTGTGTGATATAAAGTCACAATTATGAGGAAAGAAGTTGAAATTTAAAGATATACAAGTCACATTGTAAAATGTAAGGTGCAATTATAACAAACAAATTCAAAATTTCTAGATATAAATTCACATTGTGAAATTTAAGCCGCAGTTATGAGAAAAAAGTCTCAAATTTGAGATAAAAAGTCACAGTGTGAAATGTAAGACGCAATTATAAGAAAAAAATTTACAATTACAAAAAAAGTATCAGACAAAGTTCAATTGGTAAGAAACAAATTAATAATTGTGAGAAATAAAGTCCCACTGTGAAGTATTAAGTTGCAATTAGTAGAAACAAAGTTGCAATTACAAACAATAACATTGTATTTATAATATATAAAATCACAACAGTGAGAAGTCACACTATGAAATATAAAGTCTCAATTGTTTGAAACAGAGTTACAAAATATAAAGTCTCATTATGCTTTTAGTTTATTTACTCTGATATGGAAACAGGTCTCCAAGGATCACATATTCACTCCTGTTTCATCAACTTCTTACTTTTTCACAGACTGGGCTCTCTGGCTTGTTTCTTTGATGGTGCACAGTCTCTGAATCTGAATCTTAGCAGAAAACTGCTGTCTCAGATTGATGGCTGTAACAACCCTGAAATAGGCAAGGTCAGAACTGCCACTTTATTCAATCGCTGTTGCTCCCAAATTCCTGTAGCATAACTGTAATGTTACTTTTTCTTCCCCTCAACCCTCCCTCAGGTGAAAAGACAGCTAGTACAGAACATTCTGGAGAAAGATAGCAGTTCCTCCTCTCCTGAGATTCTGCTCTCTCTGGGATCCGCCGTGTCTGCCCTTCCTCTTTCCTGGCTGTCCAGGGTCTCCTCTGAGGACCTGAACAACATTCTCACCAACTTGAGTCAGGCCAGTTGGAGCCCAGCTCAAGCTAAGACTCTGGCTAATAAACTGTTGGAAGCTGCTACGGTTAGATTTTCAGCTCAGTTTATAGAGCTGAGTTTTGTTCCTTATATATATATATATACAGTGGGTACGGAAAGTATTCAGACCCCCTTAAATTTTTCACTCTTTGTTATATTGCAGCCATTTGCTAAAATCATTTAAGTTAATTTTTTTTCCTCATTAATGTGAAAAACTTGTTGCATCTTTCCCAAAAAGACTCATGGCTGTATTAGATCAAATGGGTGCTTCTACTAAATACTGAGCATTTTTCAGTTTTTCTTTTTTAATAAATCTGCAAAGATGTCAACAATTCTGTGTTTTTCTGTCAATATGGGGTGCTGTGTGTACATTAATGAGGAAAAAAAATTAACTTAAATGATTTTAGCAAATGGCTGCAATATAACAAAGAGTGAAAAATTTAAGGGGGTCTGAATACTTTCCGTACCCACTGTATATATTGTTTTCACAAGAATGTTGTCTTTTGTAGAATATAAGTGGTGAGAAGTTGTTGTCTCTGGGTACGATGGTGAGAGGGGTGGCCAGTTCCCTCCTCAAGAATGTGAAGGCAGAAGGGCTGCTGGGAAATCAAGCCCTGAACACTATGAGTGAGAAGATGTCCTCCCTACAAAGAACAGCACTACTGGAAGCGGTAAGAATAAGATGAGTTCATTCAGAAAGAGATGGAAAAGCTTCCCCAAATAAGAAGAATAAAAAAGTGACCAAACTATCAGTGAAATCCCTCATCCTTGATTCTGCTCTCTCTCTTGGTTTTATCGAATCCACAGTTCCGTCGTGATGTAAATGCATCTGAACTGGTGAAGGGGTTGCCAGATTCTCTCCTCTCTTCTCTGTCCCTGTCCACGCTGGAGAAGGCAGACCTCAGCTCTGTGGATCAGCTGCAGGGACGCGGCTGGACTCGTGCTCAAGTATACACACTTGATAGTAATATAAAAATCCAAAACCATTACCTCTACATTCATGTTTCTCTAATGTCCTTATTTCTCTCTGTAGTCAGTTTTCCTTCTGAAGAAGATTTTGGGTAATAAGATCAGCCTTGGTGAATTACGGTGAGACTCTACAGTATATGATTGCAACATAATACAGCTATGCTTTGTGTACTTTATGTAGACCTAGAAGGATTTTTTTAAATAAGATAGATAAGATCTTTTAAAAAAAGAAAGAAAACTAAATAAAAAATGAAACTGCTACTAAATTAAAACTAATCAAATTTTTTAATGATAAATATTTTATATAAACTTGTGAGCAGAATTGCATCTTAATAAAAATAAATGTCTGCATAAAGCCTGGAATAAAATACATGACTTTTAACATTGGAGCAGATTGCAAAATTGGGGCAGATTTTAAAATTGGAGCATCATACACTTGCCGACTTTGTAAATGGTTACAGAGAAAAACTGGGCATCATCGACTGAGGATCACACACTACTTGACTTTCAGGCCGTTCTGACCACAATAAACTCATGCAGAAATGTGTGCCTCAAATTGCTAGGAAATGCATGACAAACTAAAACAATCAGATAAAATGTTCTAAAATTGGCTTCAAGTATGAAACATTTGATAGCCTCTGACTGGATTATAGTCTGAGGCTAAAAAATTGGAGTTTATACCCCTCATAGCCTACACTACGCAATTTTCTGTGAAATCTGTCAACGCTGACTGCTTAGAATCTGCAGACTGGCTTTGATTTTCAACAGCTAGTGTTGAGTTGTACAGACTGCAAATCAGGGCAAAAATCTGTGCACAAGTTATGTAGTGAATTGCAGCCTTAAGATGTAATATCCTGATCAAGCTCATGGTGTTTTCAACAGGAAGCTGGATCAGGCTGTTCAGGGTGTCACTTGTGAAATGATTGAAAAAATCAATCGAACTGATGCTTTGGAAATGGCAAAGACACTTAACAATTCTTGCGCATGGCTCTCCAGGGTTCAAGTAAACATCACATTATTCATCATGCTTTCACACACCGTCTTTCATCAGCTCTGCCACTTTTCCATGATTAAATATAGAAGAAAAAAAAAATTTCCCCATCCCGATCTCCTTTTCATTCTTAGATTCGCTGTACTGCTCAAAAACTCTTTGCAAGTCTGGAGGAACAGAGACCAGGATATTTCAGTGACATTAAAAACTCTGAGCTCCACGCCATCCCAGCTGTGCTGCTCATCCATCTACCGTAAGAACAGAACAGTGCTGTATATGCATAAGAAGTTAAATGCGTTCAAATTGAATTTAACTTCAGTTTAAATCATATGCTAAGACAGACAAGTTTTTATTTTTTTACTTGTCCCCTCTCACACTATCCATACGGTCATGACACATTCAGAGTGGAGAAGATTCAAAACCTGTCCGATGCTGTGTGTCCTGCTTTCATGGAGAAGATGAATCAAGTCAACCTATCCTCTCTGCCAAACAGCTCTCCAGCACGCAGTGCACTTACCAAAAGAGCCATCAGCTGCCTGGTAATATGTGCACACATATACACAGGCTTTTCTTCTCCTGTCCAAAATAACCCACGCACATCTAAAGTTAGCGTGTTGCTGGTTGCAAGCCATTTCAGTTCTGTAATGTGATGCATTTCTGAGTAAAAGAGAATATTTAACAAGAAAAAATGCAGGGTGAGACTTATCCATCATGAACTGATTGGATGGTGTGCAATACATACCACAATCCAGTCAGAATTAATAGGCGTCACAGTAGACTTTTCGTTCCATTGACTTACTGTACATTCAATGCAAATGCAGGAGACTGGAAACGGAAGCTTATGCAAATTTGCTGCTCTCCAAATCGATATGTTACAGCGTGACCTCTTAGCTGAATTAAAAGGATGCAAACTTTAAATGTGCCGGATTGCAGCACTGTGGAGTAGATTGAATATTTTTACATTTTGCATGTATCGTATGTTGAAATATGTTTTTAAAAAGACGCAGCAGAATGTAACTTCATATTACAACCATTGCAGTGCATTATGGCAATGGCCCCTTTTCAACTTTTAAAAAACACACCTGGAGACCTTTTTTCTTTCATTCTACTACCCCGCGTTTCACGTTTTTGCATTTCACTGCTCTTTTTTCATTGACTTTCTGTGTGGAAGTGATTGACCTTTGTGCATGGGATCGCATCTTGCACAGCGTCTTTTGCAGTGTCTCATGCATGACCCAGAATTCTAAAAAAAACACAGTGCTCAAGTTAAAAGTTGGTAACATGTCTCTAGACCTTGTTTTTTTTCCCACAGTCTCACATTTTTGCTTTTAGAAAAGCACACATTTATAGGATGTTTACATGGAAAAACAATAGAAAAGAATGCCTAACATTATCCAGTAGACAATGCAGACCATGTGACATCAGCAGAAAAGGAAAAGGATTCTTCTGTACTACTACTGCAGGCACTGTCCTAATCTGTATCCTGTATCTGTGCAGAAGAGGAACGCATCTGATCTATCTGCGGCAGAGGTTTTGACTCTAGGCCCTCTGGTGTGTGAGTTAGACCCAGCCTGGATTTCCTCTCTGAACCCCGTGGCTCTGAACTCCACCCTGCAGGCTCTCGCCTCCTGTCAGTATATCCAGCAACAGCACAGAGAGCATCTGTTCAGACTGCTTACGACCACCTATGGGTAACGGCATGTGCAAAATCACACATAACTCACGATGGCTTCACACAGCCCACCTCTGCAGACCTCAGATCCCACATCCCACATTTTCTAGTTGTTTCATTGTTAAAGAGACTGTGCCTGCAGTGGCTTCAAAACAAGTGCATTTTAAACATTTGAAAAATTCCTCACTTTAAACATCCTTCTTCTCTAGCCTTAAGTGCTGCAATTAGAGATTTTGCATTGCTGTTAATGATGCATGTGTCTTTTTTTTGAACAAGGGACACTACTTTATGGTCAGAGGAAGATATGAGGGTGCTTGGGCCACTTTTGTTACTTAATGACACTGCCATTGAAAAGCTGCCACCCAAAGTAAGAATCTCAGCAATGCTGTTGACCAGTAGATTATGAAAAAGTAGGATTAAATGTACATCATTTAAAATGTATTTAATGTAAAATGAATTTAATTAATGTTCAAATAATTTAAAAAAATCTAATAATAAATGATTATTTTAATTATTACATTTGTATTAATATATAATTGCTATATTATATATTTTTAAATAATAATTATAATATAATTAAATATTATACTAATTGTTATAAATATTAGTATTAAGTGTAACATTTGAATATATCTTTTAAAACATTCTCACAGCTATTTATGTATTTTTATTTTATATATATTTTATTTAACAATAAATAACTATAAAACTATAATATCTATCTATCTATCAATCATCTATCTATTTTTTGTTTTTACTTATGAATAAATAAATGAATAATTGTTTCCTTAATTTTATTTTAAATGGCCATAATTTTATTATTTATTTATTTTTAATTTACCCATCCATCCCTCCATTCCGCTCATCTGTCTTGCAGAGCTGGGTAAAGTCATATCTGTCAGACCTGATGGACAGTTTGCCCAGTCAGCCTGTGGTTCCTCCTCCAAAGGAGTTCCGCTCTTGGTTTGATCTCTCTGCACTTCATCGCAAACTTTTTGACCTCAAAACGAGTAGCCCACTACAAAACCGCAGGAAGCGTGAAGGTAGGTGTGCCAGAGAGTGCATGTGAAACAACCAGAATAATCAATAGAGGAAATGTTAGTGATATCTAACAATATGCCATTTGTATTTCTTTCTTTCTTTCTTTGAAGTGGTGTCCACTCCAATAGAGCCCACGCTCCCATATATTGAGGATCTCAAACAGGGGAATGTATACTGGACTCCCACCCAGTTCAGTAAAATGACTGTGCAGACTTTCAAAGATGTTGTGCCAACATTAGGAGAGATAACCAACTACAGCACAGAACAACTGGCTGCACTCAGAGCAAAAACTCTGGAGGTACACACAAACCCCGCAAGTTAAATTATAATATATACACAATATATATACACAACAGAATCTAAGAAAACCTTTACAGCTTGACTTCAGTGGTCAAAGACAATGTCTATTGTATATGGCAGGCATGGGGGAGTGTGTCCATGTTGAATGAGTCCCAGATTGCTGATCTGGGCTGCATCTGCCAGAGCTTCAGTGCTGAAGAGCTAGGCAACCTCAGCACTGCCTCACTGGACACTCTTGAGACTATGACCACCTGCAACTTTACCCAGACACAGGTAATACAAACACACACATTCAGTCACCAAACAGCATCTAGAATTTATATATAAAACTTGTAGTAAAAAAAATGTTATGAAAGAAACATTATTTATTTATTTACTACTGTGCAAAGGTTTGGGGTCAGTAAGAAATTAACTTTTATTCAGCAAGGATGCATTAAATTGATCAAAAGTGACAGTAAAGATGTTTAAGACGTCTGAGTTTCACAGTTACATTATCAACACTGATAATAATATTAGGTGTTTCTTGAGCAGCAAATCAGCATATCAGAATGATTTCTGAAGGATCATGACACTGAAGACTGGAGTAAAGGCTGCTACAAATTTAGCTTTGCCATTACAGGAATAAATTACATTTAAAATAGTTATTTGAAATTGTATTTCACAATATTACTGCTTTTACTGTATTTCTGATCAAATAAATTCAGTCTTAGTTAGCATAAAATGCTTCTTTCAAAAACATTTAAAAATCTTACCGACCCTGAACACTTGAATTCATTTATGAATTTTTTTTTGCATGTATTAAATATACACATTTGTATTAACAATATACAAAAGCAAATGAAAATGATGAATTTTGCAGAGGACAGCAGTCTGGCAGGCCTTTGAAGGGGTGGCTGGAATCAACGTGTCTAGATTAGGACAGCTGGAGATGGTGGGTCTGGGACAGTTTATCTGTGGTCTACAACCTGTCCAGATCGATCAGCTCAATCCCCTCAGCTTCAGGTTAGAAACACTTCCACATTCATGGTTATATTCTCAATTTTAAGTATGTTTGTTTACCCTACAGCACAACAAAACTGCTGTGTACAGACCTGGCCATTGTGATTTCCTGTGATGTGTGTGCTTCTCAGGGAGTCAGTAGAGGTGGTGGGCCGTGCTCCTTGTCCTCTGAACATTAGAGAGCATCTGAAGGAAAAGGCAGTGGCTGCGTTTGGAAAATCACACACCTGGACTGAAGCTCAAGTCAGCATTATGGGCAACATTATTGGTGAGTTACAAAGGACACCAAGTGATAAATCTGAATATTTACACGTGACTAGTTCAAGCTTAAAATGTGCCTTTGTCCTTTCATGTGTTTCTAGCTGGTTTAAGTGCTGTCGAGCTGGGAAGTCTAAATTCAACCGTCCTGCCATTCATTCAGCCATCCGCCATCCCTCTCATATCCTCGGATCGCTTAGCTGTAAGTTTAATCTCTTGTTTGCAGACTTTCATGTTTTATTTCTTGCTGCGTATTTTATATTTGACTACTTCTTAAAGGGATTCTTCACCCAAAAAAGAAAATTCTTTCAGCATTAACACCCTCGTGCCGTCGTAGATGACTTTTAGAAAAATAATGTATCTCTGTTGAGTCCACATAATGCAAATGGATGGCTCTCTCAAAGTTGATGATTCAAAAATCGTGAAAAAATGAACACAACAGTACTCTATACAATCCCAGTTGATGAATCAATGTCTTCTGAAGTGAAACAATTGTGAGAAAAAAAACATGATATAAGTGATTTGGAAGCACAGAGGACCTTCACTTCTCACACAAGTTTCACAAATTCTGAAAGTTGGCCAGATGCAATGGTTTATAGTGTCAAAAGTTAAAATTATTGGTATTTTTCTCTCACACACCCATTCTTTCATTTAAAAAGACACAGTCCACAAGATAAAATAATAGCTGAATTTATAAAAAATGACCCCGTTCAAAAGTTTACATCCCCTGGATTCTTAATACTGTGTTGATACCTGAATGATCCACAACTGTGTTTTTTTTTTGTTTAGTGATAGTTGTTCATGAGTCCCTTGTTTGTCCTGAACAGTTAAACTGCCTGCTGTTCTACAGAAAAATCCTTCAGGTCCCACAAATTCTTTGGCTTTCCAGCATTTTTGTGTATTTGAACCCTTTCCAATAATGACTGTATGATTTTGAGATCCATCTTTTCACACTGAGGACAACTGAGGGACTCATATGCAACTATTACAGAAGGTTCAAACGCTTACTGATGCTCCAGAAGGAAAACTATGCATTAACAGCCGGGGGTGAAAACTTTTTGAATTTGAAGATCAGGGTAAATTTTACTTATTTTGTCTTCTGGGAAACATGTAAGTATCTTCTGTAGCCTCTGAAGGGCAGTACTAAATTAAAAAAATATGATATTTAGGCAAAATAACAAAAATGTACACATCTCCAAAGTTTTCACCCCCGGCTTAATGCATGGTTTTTCTTTCTGGAGCATCAGTTTGAACCTTCTGTAATTCTTAAGAACACAGTATTAACAGTTTGAACAGGGTCATTTTTATAAATTCAACTATTATTTTCTCTTGTGGACTATATGTAAACATATTTTATGTGAAATATCTTATTCAGGTCAGTACTAAATAAACAATAACATGCATTTTGTATGATCCCTCTTATTTTGGTAAAATAATTAACATTTTGCAGATTCTGAAAGGGGGGGTGTAAACTTTTGACCTCAACTGTATTGATTCATCAACTAGAGTCATATGATTTACCGTCATGTTTGCTTTGTGTGGTTTTTGAAGTGTCAATTTTGGAGGTACCATACACTTGCATTATATGAACCCGATTTGATTGAGGAGGGTAAGTTAATGATGAGAGAATTTTGGGTGAAGTATCCCTTTAATTGAGTTGCTCTGTAAGAAAAGAAAAAGTGACTCTTGTCATTTGTGATCAGGCACTGTCGGTCAGCCAGTTGAAGGCTTTGGGTCCTGACAATGCTGCCGCAGTAACAGAGGCTCAGCTTTCAGGGCTGAGGGTCGATCAAAAGGCTGCACTGGATGAAGCTGTAGGACTGAAAACTGCACGTACTGAAGTGCCCACTGGAAACTCCACTGGAATCTCCAGTTCAGGCTCTGGTGGATCAGCCCCACTGCCACTAAAAGGAGGTAAGTGACAGGAAAAGGGTCAGGAAACCTGTTTGGTGATAGTCATCCACAAATTATTCTTAAAGGGGTGGTTAAATGTTTTTTTTTTCTGGGCTTGATTGTGTTTATGGGGTGCAGTCTAACATGTATTAATGCTTCGTTTTTTTAAAAACGCATTATTTTTCACATAATTTACCTTTATTCCACACCGCTCTGTCCCTTCTCTGAGAAACGCGCTGATCATTTCCTGCTTTTATGAAGCCCCGCCCTCAGAAATAGGTGATGGGCTCTGATTGGTTAGCTAGCCCAGTGTGTTGTGATTGGCTAAACCGCCTCTAGTGCGCATCTAACCGTCCCACCCCTCACCTCAGCGGCATGTGCTCCGGTTGTATTGTAAACAATGGCGTAGTTAATATCGCTTATCAGTTTGAGCCCAATTGAGAAGCAGAGGATATTATTGAAGAGGATCGTGCAGAACGGCTTTTAATGGTAGGCTTATGTTTTTTGTTTCTTGTTGTCTCATACTTTTAGATATGCTGTTATTTGTAAATGCTACTGCTTATGTTAGCTTTTAATATACGGTTTTATCCTGATTAAAGCTTTAATACAGTACGGCAACTGCACGTGCGTCCATGTTTAACTCTTCTCATAGCTATGTGAAAATAAGTGTATAATTGGAACAGTTCATTGTTGGAGCTGAGCTGAATGAGAGAGAGAGTGAGAGAGAGAGAGAGAGAGAGATGCAGAGCATGTGTAGAGCAGTGGACGTGAGGAACAGTATTAAGAACCGCTACTTTAGAACATTGATTTACCATGGTTACATACGTAACCTGGAGACGTTTTCTCTTCCTCTTCTCTAAAGCAGTGCAGCATGGCCTCGCCCCCTTTGCTGCCTTTTCCCGAGGGCGAGGTTTATCTGGGTTTGTTACGTCACGAACCCGGGAAGTAACTTGTTGTAGACCATGCGAGCCGTTTTTGTAGGCATTAAACTGCCAGAATTTTAAAAGACGATATCTCCGTTTGCATTGAACTTTCAGCTTCGTAGTTTTGCAGATATTGTTTATGCTCAAACAGCAACATTACACACTAACCTTAAAAAAAGTGAAATCGCAATCAACCACCCCTTTAATAATCTCAATGTGACCCAGAATTATTATTTTTAAAATTCTACTAAATAATGACCATTACATTTGAATGGATCTTTTATTCGTAAAAAATAATTATAAAACAAATTTACAAATATGTTTCTCTTCGTACTCCAGGTGCAGCTGTAGAGAGCATGGCAGGATGTGTCCTCCTCATGCAGGCCATTGCACTGCTGTTGTTTGGATACATTCTCTAAGGAGCAGAAGAGTCAAAGGCCATAGGATGCCATGTGTCTGATGGCAGATGCTGATGTATGATCAACCAGCAAACCAGTAGATTTAAGAAATGTTATAATTGCTTTGTTTCGAAACTTCAGCAAGTCACTGATTGCACATTTAAACTTAGCGATTAGACCATAACCAAAGATAGTACAAGATGGTGAGATGGTGGTTTGATAAAATTTGGGTCTAGCCCATCTTTAACTTATTAAATGTATTTTAGAGAGAAACTATATTTGATAATACTGCTATTTAGGTATTTTCAAATGGACATCTATTATTATTCTATGAGAGACAGTAAACACTGTGTATACTTCATTAAAGTGTATCTAAGATGTAGTTTTATTATCAGTTATTTAATTGCAGTTAAATGTTTGTATTAGAGGTTGTGTTCTATTTCAAATCATTTATACCCAAACATAAGGGTTAATAAAGATCTGTCTGTACAGAGAGTAAGTGTGAGATTTGAAGTCAAAGCTGACACTTTCACACCCTCATGTGGTGTAGAAGCTAACCATAGCTTCTGATGACCCGAAATTCATGCCAACCTTTCGTCAGATGCACAAGCCATCTACCTTGTCTTTGTCTGCTGTTGTCACATAAAGGGGTTATGTAAATTATTGTAAAGGGGTTATGTAAATTATTCAAAATAGCTATTACACCTCATTTATCATCAAAGAGTTTAAGCTAAATGAAACACATCTGGTCACTCAAACTCCCAAATGCCTTGCAAATATCAAGATATGCAACATACATTATCATTCAAGCCAGTAAGATTTTGTTTTCAAAGAAATTTATACATTTATTCAGCAAGGACATATTAATTTGATCAAAAGTGACAGTAAAGACATTGCTTTAAGAACTATTTATCAAAGAATCCTGAAAAAAATGCACCATGGTTTCCACTAAAATATAAAGCAGCACAACCATTTTCAACATTGATAATAATAAAAATATATATTTAAGCACATAAGAATGATTTCTGAACGATCATGTGACACTGAAGATAGCTGCTGACATTTTTCAAATATATTAAAATAGAAAAGAGTACTAGTACACCGTAGAAAAAAAAGAAATACTTGGTATAAAAAAAAAGATGTAGTTGCCAGAACTTTACTGTAAAAACTACAGTAGCAACATTTTAAGTTTTACGGGACTGAACTTGAAAATTTTTTTTTATTATTGATAGGTTTATCAAATGAGTATATACAGTAGACTATAACAAGGCATAGAGTAGTGATTTAGCCATTACAGTTTTTTATTTATCTCAACACAATCCATATGAAACAGCCAGAAAAATTCAGGAGGTTACAGTAAAACAAATCTATACTAATCATCTTTAAAAAGAAAACCAGTAGACAAGATATGTAAGGCACCAATAAAACATAATTCCAGCGCAAACATAAAAATAACTCAACTCTTTCAAATCATCTGCAGCCTTTAACAGTAATCTTAACCTTAGACTAAATGAAGAAGGCACTGTTTTTGTTCTCATTCTAAAGATCAGCAACTATTCAGCAAGTTTCCTGATTTTAATGCCTCTGTGGAAACACAAATAGAAGAAATACAAACATTAAACATAAAAATAATTCAAGCACAAAGGAGTCACCTGATTTGGAAGCATTTGGCTGTGCTAAACTATTAGTAATTACAGTATTTTATCTATATAAGCAGCTGCATTTTGCATGAGAGAAAACGGACTGTTGTACAATGGAATCAGTAGGCACAGGAATTTAGCAGGGCTGGTAAACGTGTGTATGACACTCTCTCAATATGATGCTCAGTGTCTCTCAACCTCTCAGATCAATTAAGAGCTAGTAGCAATCACTTTTTAGGTTGATCAAACCTAATCATTCCTCTATAGTATTACTTGTCTCCTCTGTGTTTTTACGAAAATTGTCTAGCAGAGTTACTACATGTTATTACAAACATGCAGTGTATTTCTCTAGTTTTTAGGTGAGAATGTGGAGTGTTAAAAGCCTGTGACAAACCCAAATGTTTATAATTTGCAGACTTTCAATTACATACACGCTTTATGCTGAATCTTACAGAAACACCCCAAAAATAAATACAAGAAATTATATTTTGCATTAAGAAATTGAAATCTACCTGAATGAAATTAAATATTACAATTCAGTCTTTATCTTAATCTTAACATTTTACTTTTGAGATTTTCTGTAATTAGATATTCATTAACGTAATACAGTAATTTGTTATTGGTTAATTTGTTATCTGTGATGCTGTAGTTTTTTTTTTTTTTTAATCGGCATAAAGGGCTATAAATTATATAAATAAATTTAAAATGTTTTTTACATACATTTTTAGCATTACAGTAATGAGAATTGGTGTGCTTAATTAAAATCGAAAAGTCACAAAGTAAAATAAATATCACAAAAAAATCTTCAATTATGCTTCATTTTCTTTAAGGAAAACATAATTTCTTGTTTTTTGTTGTTGATTTTGGGGTGACATGTTCTTGACAGGTTTCATGAGTCTCACCCTTTCCTTTCTCTCTACGCTGGTTTGTCTGTTTTGTATGCGGTGATGAAGGCCATGCCGTGAGTTCTGAAGTGTGTATTAAGATCAGCAGGTTTGCTAAAGTAACGTCCACACACCTTACAGGTGTGCTTACCTTCCCCATCATCCGCCTGTGTCCCCCCTACACTTGAGGGTGACCCTGGGGACCCTGCTGCAACTGCGGAGTCAGAGGTCACAGAATTTGAACCAGTGACAGGAGACGCCTCGGCGTGCTCGGAGCGGGAATCACGCACGCGATGGCTGATGAAGAGATGCCTGCTGAGAGAGGAGGAGGATGCAAAACACGCACCGCACTGCTGACACTGAAAGCTGCTGCCCCCGTCACGGTGACAAACAATATGCTGGAGAAACTCTTCTCTGTGCTCTGTGGTAAAACCACACGGCATGCAGCGGAATCCTGTGGCTTCCTGCTCCTCAGCTGCAGCTCCTCTGCCAGGCCTGGTCAGGCTGCTCTCGGCCAATTGGCTTTCTGCTTCAACTGAGGCCCCGCCCAAAGTGCCAGGACCACCATCATGCTCAGACGAGCTGTCAGCTGCATCTGTGATACGAGGAACTGCCTGAAAGTGAGAGAGACACACTGAAAGCGACTTACTGTGCCAAAACTACAAACTACTACTTCAATGAGCTTTACTATGGCTAAATTGTGTCCAGTTACTTGATAAAGTTGTAAAAAGTTTGACTTTATGTTTGAGAAATTTGAATTTGTTTCATAATTGATTAATTTTGAGAGAACTGAATCAACACTGAACTGACTCGAGCTTCTGAAGAGCTGCTTGTCACTAAATTTCATAATTTACAAACTAAACTGAACCAACACTGAACTGACTGGAGCTGAACAATGACACTATTGTCTTTTTAGAGCTCCTTTACAGCAGAATTTGAATTTTCTCAATTTATGAAGTTTGCAACATTGCTTCTGTTATTTCTTGTTTATTATTGTGAAGCTGCTTTGAAACATTTTTGAAATCGGTATTGTACAAAGTGTTCTCTCTCTCTCTCTCTATATATATATATATAAATGTTGTTTAATATTTGAAAATAAAGAAATTGAGATGTATATATAAATGTTGTAATTTTTCAGTTTTACTAGAAAATGAAATTATTTATATTTATTTTATTAAATACTCATTTTTATTTAAAGCACAAAACCAGTCTTAAGTTGCTGGGGTATATTTGTAGCAATAGCCAAAAATACATTGTATGGGTCAAAATGATCGATTTTTCTTTTATGCCAAAAATCATTAGGATATTAAGTAAAGATCATGTTCCATGAAGATATTTTGTAAATTTCCTACCGTAAATATATCAAAACTTAATTTTTGATTAGTAATATGAATTACTAACTTCATTTGGACAACTTTAAAGGCGATTTTCTCAATATTTAGATTTTTTGCACCCTCAGATTTTCAAATTTGTTGTATCTCGGCCAAATATTGTCTAAATATTGTTCTATCCTAACAAACCATACATCAATGGAAAGCTTATTTATTCCGCTTTCAGATGATGTATAAATCTCAATTTCAAAAAAATGGACCCTTATGACTGGTCCAGGGTCACATACATGATCAGTGAAGAAACAAGGTGTAATTGCATTTTCAAAAGCTGAATGTTACGGTGAACTTAAGCAACAAAAATCACTGTCAGGTGATCATGGCTTTGGACGTGTTTTGTTCATCTTAGAGTGTATTTGAGCTCTTACCTGACTCTGTGTGGCTGCTCCTCTGTCTCCTCCATGCTGAGCCTGAATATGTTTCTCAAGAATCAGCTTACTGCTGAAACTCCTCTTCCCACCTGTACAGAGTCTTCATAACAAGAAATGACAGTAAATGCCTTTGAAAATAAGACAAACAAAAAAAGTCATAAAAGAAAAAATGCTGCTGAATACTTTTTACTCACTGGCAATAAAACGCTCTTTTGATGCCTTTGTGCTTGACACGAATGTGACGTCTTAAACTTGACGATGAAGAGAAGGACCCTTCACAAAGAGTGCATGGAAACTTCTTCAGTTCCTTCCAAAAAAAATAAAAAATCATGATGAAACATTGTTAGTTTAGGTTTGTTGGTTCAGGACAAATTGGAAACCATTCCAATTGAACAAAGAAAAAACTAATTCCAAAATCATTCTAATATCTTGATTTGGTGTTCAAGAATTGTTCTTGTTATTCTCAAAGTTGAAGAGAGTTGTGCTGCTTAATATTTTTGTGAAAAACAGCATTTATTTTTTGATTTATTATAACATTACAAATGTCTTTACTGTCACTATCTTTACTGTTCATCAATTTAATGCATCCTTGCTTAATTTTTATTTTTTTTTATCTATTGAATAGTAGTGCAGTGTTTCCCATATTGATTTATTTGTGGTGCCTGCCACAATATCAAAACTGACCGCCACAAATAGATTTTCCAAAAAGCTTTGACTTCGTTGAATCAACATAAGCACTGCACGTTTCAAAATCGAAACCCGGTGCGAGTGTTTTTATATCACTGTATTTCTGAAGGATGTCATTTGGATGTCATTTTCATTTCATCTTGCATGTAATGTCTGATAAAGCAGCTTTTGTGAGCAGAGCGCTGCTTTGTGTACAGCGTTACCAGGGAAACCTCTAATTCTCCCGCTTTAAGCGCCTCCTGCTGGCAGAGAATGAATTTGCATACTGTATATATGCCGCCGCCACAAATAGAGTGTAAGTCTGTGGGAAACACTGATAGTGTATAAAATACTGACAAATATATTCTTTTTTTTTTTGAGG